AATTTTTCATGTAGGGTCTCGTGTTTTCTGCCCAGGCAGCCTGAACTGTCATCCTGTTACTTAAGGTTCCCACATAGCTGGGCTAGCAGGCACTGGGGAGCCACCAAGCCCATCTTCATATGTTTTTGAGGTGGCAAGTTTCTTGTTTGGCCTCAAACTGTGATCCTCCCAATATCCACTTCCTAAGGATCTGGAATTATGAATTTGTGCCACCATGCCTGACCCAAAAACAGCAAATTCAGTTTTTTAAAATTTGCTATCATTGTTCTGGGTCTCATTTACAAAAGTTTTTACAGTATATCAAATATATTACAAGTGAATTAATTCCCTCCACCATTCTCCTTTATCCCCTGCCTCGTCCCTGTAACAGTGTTAACAGGTATCATTTTTCCATTTACATACTTGTGTACACAGTATTTGCACCATATTCACCCTCCCACACCCTTTCTCCACTTCCTCCCCACTCCCACTGGTACCAACCACTCATGCAGGACCTGTTCTACCTTTCTGTTCCCTGATTTCAGAAAATTCTTGTATTTAGTTATTTGTAACTTGTAACTTATTACTGTAAACATAATATGAGCTTCAAAATGAATTTGCAATGGGTTATTCCATCTTCTTTTTTACTTGCTATTCATTTTACCAAATATTGCTATGGTATCTATAGTTCATTCATTCAATTGATAAATTTATTCAGATCTTATAACATATTTCTGTGTAAATTATAGTACTGTTTTTTATGTTCTTAAGGTTTATGAATCTCTTTTAATGATTTAATTTACACCTATTAGTTTTATGAAAGAAAGCTACAGGAAAGAAAATATATTGTATCTATCCTTTGTCTTTTTTTTGGAATGAATTCTGTTTATTCTCCTCCCACACCCACAGTATAGGTTTAAATAATCAAAGTATCATCACTGTGTAATTTTTTAAATGACATAGTACTAAGAGGTGTCCACTAAGCCTAGAAAAGCAATTTTTAAAACCTTTGGAATTAACAGAAAACATTATCTGTAAGAAGTTATATCACTTTGGCTCACTTCACGAAATTTTATCCTTTACCATGGGAAAATTGTGATTTTTGTCAAGCACAGTGTATATATTTGATAAATATGTAAAAATATATTTTATCAACTTTGAAGACAAACTCTTGTCACCTGTTTTATTTCTTAATCTGTGTTGTACAGGTAAAAGCCATTAAGATGTTTCATATGCATCAAAAATAGGCGGCTTAGCAGCCGATGGCAGTGTAATTGCACAGTACGTCATAAACGATCTGACTTTGGCACAGCCAAAGATTACTTCAGAGTTTTGAATTAATCTGAATGACCCCAGGTTTATTGCTGTTGAGATTCTAGAAATGATAAAATGTCAATTCACTAGAAATAAACTGACAGAATCTAAACAATCAGACATGACAAATGCATAGTTTCTGACTTGTTCCATATTCTGTAGACTTTATTACATGTTGCAATACTTTATTGAGAAATTTTTGTTTTAATGAATGTGTCTTCCACCTTACTAAAATGCATGTCTGTTATGTAAAGAACCATTCACTTCTTTTTATATTCGTGTTTTATATGCACTGAAGTCTCAATGGACAAAAAAAGTGATGAACCATTGGTTTGCCTGATGATGTCTTCATTTGAGGCATGCCTGTAAAGGCAATATTATTAGTCAATCATTTTTGAACAATGATACTATTTCAATTTATCACAAGTTTTCCAGTGTTGTTAGATGATGACACATGTGCTGACATACTCCACACCTACAATTTTCTAAAGAGACAGCTCATAACTTAAAAATTATATTGATAGAGTACTACAAAGAATAGCTGTCTGTACATTTATTGTTATTGACCTTATAACATGTTCTTTTATAAAACAGAAAAACCATATCTCAGCACATTGTCTTGAAAAGGTCCTTTCATCTATAGTCTGCATTATCTGATGCCCTTTGGGTTACCTTGCTGAGTTAAAAAATGTTCTTTCTCACATTTGAGGGTCTCTATTCCAGCTAAACTCTTCACATTCACTAATCATAATCCCTTAGAAATGATTTCAGATTAAGTTATTCCCCATGATAGTCAATTATTTTATTTTTCACCTTATTAGCTTATTAAAATAGCTAACTTGCAAACCTAATATGAAAGTAAAAGTTACTGTTATTGGATGGATAGGATAGCATAACCAGGATACCCTAGTCCCTTTAAGTTAGAGCCCTGTGTTTTCCCAAAGATCGCATCCACCTCAGCCCTGTCCATTCCACTGATGCTCCCTCACTGTCACCACCGAAAACCACTACATTTAACAACTCCCTCTCTCTTTTAAAAATGTTGTCAGCCATTTCCTTGGTAATTTTTCCAGTAAGTTTCGTAATCAAATATTCTGACAGAGAAGGATGTATAGTACATTATTCAATACAGACACCGAAAACGCTTATCTTGATGGGAAAAACATCAAGACCTTTCCTAACACTTAACCATGGGCCATGAAATTGAACCAGGAGGGTTAACATTTCAAAGGTGTTAACATTTCTTCAGGTTCTTTAACCCAACCATGGAATGAGAGGAAAAAGATGTAGAGAGTTTCTAATAAATCATATTTCAATTTGATAAACATTGAAATGAAAAAATAACACATTTTCTTTGTTGTATCCTTTTCTTAGGAATTTTACCCCAGAATAGTTTAGTACAATTAGAAGAGTTACCTTCAAATGCTTATTGCCACATTAAACAAAAACTCAGGCATCCATGCATTTCCTAACATCTAATAGAAATGGGGTATAACTCACCTATTAAGAAAGGATTGTACTCTGAGGAAAGTATAGATTGTAGAAGCCTCATTAGCTTCTGGTTATGTTCTGGTGGTTATTTGAAAGCAGACATACTACCTTTGAAAATCAGTCTTTATCACTGTGATATATAGTGGAGAAACAATGTAAGCTGCCATTTTGCTTCATGTTTGATCTAACTCTTGAATTTCAGATCCCTTTTAAGTTTATAAAGTATTAATTTGAGAATTAAATACATGTATTATACAGAAGGTATATTTTATAATGGTAAATTATACACTGATAAATTACTTAAAATATATTTAGTTGAATATAATTATTTAATATATTATAATAATATAATAATAATTATAATAATAATTATAAGATCAAAAATACATTCCATTGAACTCATGTCTGTTAGATGATTCAACATAGCTTGCAAGAGAAATGACAGCTATTTTGGTGGGCAGATGGGGAAGATAGACAGATTTAACTGCTACCAGAGTTAATGAAATTCTCAAATTTACAATTGATTCTGAAATAATTATCAGACATCTAAAACTAACAGGAAATAAAAGTAAAGGTAATTGGGTTTTCAAAAAGTGTGATTTTTTTTCATAGTCTTAAATACCTAATATTGAATATGTTTTGTTCAATATACTTGCTCATGTATGAAACATGTTAAATGCCTTCTGAACTTAACTGATAAAAATGCAACTAGAAATTCCAGAAAAATCAAATACTACAGTTGATTTATTCTTAGGAAAGCCCTCTCAAAATCTGTTAACAGAATTTGAAACTGACACTTCAATATCAAAATTAAAACTTTGGAATTTTGTGTTTAGTTCTGCTTCTGTATTTTTATTTCTTCCCATTCTCTTTCTTCCTTTGTGTTCATTTAAATACACTATTATCTACCCCATCAATATTGTTTTACCTTTTGTTGGTACTGGGGTTTGAACTTAAGGCCTTGCTGCTCTTGCTAAGCGAGTGCTCCACCACTCTTCCAGCCCCTTTTTGTTTTAGTTTTTTTCAGGCAGAGTCTTGGACTTTTTTGCTCAAGCTGGCCTCAGACTGCTGATCTTCCTATCTATATCTTCTGCAAAGCTGAGATTATAGGTGTGCCCCAGCAGACCCAACTTTTTTGTTTTCAGGGAGTCTCTTATTAACTTTTGCCTAGGCTAGCTTTATACTGTGATTCTCCTGATCTCTGCCTCACTTCTGCAGTAGCTGGAATCACAGGTAACAACCATGGCACCTAGACATTTTTACTCTGATAAGATGCTAGTAAAATAACATGCACTGTCTTTTTACCATAAATTTTTAGAAATCTACAAAGTTTAAAAGTATGCCCATAATTTTACTTTTGTGGGATATTACAATTTGTCATGGTCGGGGACCGTTTATATGAACAGGGATTTTTCTTTGATTTTCTGATTCAGAATCAGTTCGTACTAAAATGCTCCACTTGGTGATAAAAATAAGCATTTTACATATTTCTCTTTAATGACTAAGTAATTAGGGAAACAAACTTTATATCTTCATTTAAAATATTACAAAAGTACCTAGCAGTGTCTCAAGTTAATATCGACTAAAATAAATTAATAAATTTATTACTTAATAATAAATTTAAAAATAAATAATAAATCTTAGTGTTTGTTAGGCGACATTTAAATCTACTCTGAATTAAATTGTGGCTAACCTGGTCCATTATTATAGGTCAGTTTTTAGTTGATTTAAATTTTGAAGTAATTATTTTAAGGCACAGAATCTTAACTTTCTATGAATACCTAAAAACTCTTTATACCTTTTTTTATCTGTCATTATCTATCTATCCAGTCTTTTTAATCTATGTATTGCATCCTGGATTCTTTTTAATTTGTATCAACAACTTTGGTACCAATTACACTCGCCCTCATATTTCACATTCAGTTCACATTGATACTATTATTAAATAATATGTTTCCTCAGAGTAATTTTAATATAGCACACTCTACTATTTATGATGCCAAGTTAAAATTCTACAGCAGTAGCTACTGAAGTAAAAAGTGAAGTTATTACTTCAAATCATAATCCTTAACGTGGAAGCAAAGTTGCCTTTCCATTTTACACTATAATGTTCTGAATTTGACTCACTTCCTATAGACTATATTCTTCAAATATGATAGTCTTACTGTGCACTTTCTCATCTCCACTTGTTATGCAAATTCTGTATGTTTCAACAGGCATCTTCCATCTGAAAGTTCCTGAGTCTTCTCCTATTGGCTCGGCTATTGGAAGAATAAGAGCTGTGGATCCTGATTTTGGACAAAATGCAGAAATTGAGTACAATATTGTTCCAGGAGATGGGGGAAATTTGTTTGACATCATCACAGATGAGGATACACAAGAAGGAATCATCAAACTGAAAAAGGTACTTAGACTTTTTTTTAGATGGTGGCCTACCTAATAATAACAAAAGAACAGAAATGGAAAATGACTTTTCCTTAAGTAGCCATATTGAAAATAACACTGGTAACTATGAAATATTCGCTCTCACAGGCAGTTACTTTGTGATTCTATTTTATATTGAACAACCAGGGCTGTCAGTTTGATTACATAACTTTAAACATTCTTAGCAGAGTTTAATTATAAATATATTTTCTTGCTCTAAATGTGGGCAAAATACTAATTTCAAAATACCATCCAAGAATAAACATTTATTCTACCAGACTTGATGTTGACCAAATTTTGACTTTCCTAAGAATATAAATACCTAATTCAGCACATTATTGGTAGTAATTGAGATCATACTGGAGGAATGTGATTGAGGGTCACTTTAATAATCAGAGGAGTGGAGGAAATAAGACAGGGGGATAGAGGGCTTCAGAGAGTTATTAGAGGCAAAGCAAAAATAAAACGCGACACAAAGAAGGAACAGAGAGACAGAGAGAGAGAGAGAGAGAGAGAGAGACTGTGATACAATGATGTTTAGCTGTTTAGAAATGGTAAACTGAGTAGCATGGAAGGGGATGTCAAAAAGAAAAGCTAACTTTGTTGGACTGTTAGAATTCATTCCCTTAGAAAGAAATTATTCTCTTTGGTCTATATATTTTCATTTTTTATTGGGTAATGGCATTAGGAGCATATAAATGCAAGTAAGAGAAATATTGATTATATTTGAGGTATTTAGAATGTTTCCATACTAAAGAAAATTATATTAATTTTGAATAATGAAGTTCAGCCAGAAAAATGGACCTCACTTAATTCAGTATTTTCATCCCTTTTGCAAAGTACACTCTATTAAACCCAGGCTGCATCATCTATCATGCAGTTTTACTAATTGTGATCATTTTATTATTCATATTTAAGTGATAAATGATTCTTTTTATAAATGATGAATTTTCTTTTACGTTTGATGTATTTCCAGGTAATGAAAATGTTAGGTATTGACATAAGAAAATGAAGTCAGTAATTTGAAGTGATTCCATTCCAGTATGACAAACACAATTAGTGCTGGTTTTAATGTGCTTTACAGCTGAAATGAAAGCCTCTGAGAGAGCTCTGTCTATAATCTCCATATGGCATATCTGCAAGCAAGACTATATTGTCTTGTGACTAATGAGAATTAATAGGGAATTTGACCAGTAATTCCTACCATATAGCTTTTTTTGGCTTTGTAAAAGTTAGTGTGTATTAATTGTATAAAGTAAGGGGTTTCATTATGACATTTCATACATGTTTAAAATATACTTTGATCATATTATTTGTGATTATTTTAAACCAGGAGAATACTTTTGAGTTCTGTCCCATTAATCAGGCCATTTTCCCATAATTGCTCAGGAACTCTGAATTCATTAAGAAATAATATAAATGATAATGAAAAAAATCTTTAAAAGCATATTTATATAATTATTAATCTTATTTTTATTACAACAAATGCATATAAACTGTGCTTGCAATAGAAATTTAATTAATTCACACTATCATACTGAGTAAAATTATGCATTCATGCTGAAATTGAAAAGTATACTTAGAGAAATGTATCAAATTTTTATAAGCTTTCTTACTTTATTGCTTATTATTTACTTTGTTTTTCTCTTTTCCTTTGGGAACAGATTTATGAAAAGTCTTACCACTTAAACTTTTTAACTAAAAGTGTTCCAAAAAAAGAACTTTAAATGTTTCTTCAAGCATCAGTGCAAATAAAACAAATATAAATTTTCCTAAGAATATGAAAAATCACCGGACACAAGGAGCTCATGCCAATCAGGCTGACATGGGGAGGATAGTGGTTTGAGGCCAGTGTGGGTAAATAGTTGGCAAGCCCTCATCTCCAAAATAACCATAGCAAATTGGACTGGGGTGTGGCTCAAGTGGTAGAGCACCTACTTTTCAGCTGTAAAGCCCTGAGTTCAAGTCCCAGTCCCAACAAAAACTAAAAAACAATATGAAAAAAATTATACAAAATACTTTACATCAACAGATCATAATACGTAAGCGTGAAATCATGTATAAAGTATTATTGGGATACAAAAGAGTTAGTACCACATACATGTATTCGTATATATTTATGTATCTATTAAAAGCATATATTTATTTTAAATATATTTACATATAATTTCTATGTCAATAAGTAATCAATACTTTACTGTCAATCTGGAGAAATGTCTTTGATTCTTATTTACTTTTAACAAGTTTGAACAGGAAGTTGTGCTAACTATAGTTCTTTATCTCATCATGTCAAAATAAATTAATCTTTGAAAATAATGATTCACTTATGTAAATTTTCACTCAGTGAAAACTCATCTTAAGCTTTTTGTCTATGAAAATTTAATAAGGTGATTCATGTTTATTTTGTTTAATTTTTGATAATTTTTCATGTTTTATAATGGACAAAGATTGAGGTTTATAAAATTATGAGTAACCTTAACTATTAAAAATGATTTAGATAATGTAGATAGTCAATCTGGAAAGTATGTCTCTAAATTTTAAAAAGCTTCCTCCTCTGGTGGGTGAATAATTATTTATCTTCATGGCATGGGCAGTCTTGAAGGTCAGGCCAAGATTCTGAATTTGATCAGAATATGTTAAGCTATGGTGAGTTTAGATATAAGTCACATCTAGTGTCAACTTTCTCTGGATGCTTTGAGGACAGCGATTACTAGAAAATAATGATAGAAATAGGTCAGTGAAGAAAACATAAAAATAATTCACAAAATTGATTAGATGTGGATCATGATGCTTATACAAAAGGAGCCTTTGAGAATTGGTGAGATTCTAGTTAAATTTTGAGGAACAATCAAAGCATAATTTCATAACTATTCTGGTCACCAATAAACCACACTAAGCATTTGAGTACTTACAGAGTCTAATAGAATACATGGATTTTTAAATAATATGCTTTCATTTCTAAATAATAATTCACCAGAGGCAATCTCTACCTTTTATTTCATTGAAAAGAAAATTACCAGGCGCCTGTGGCTCACATCTGTAATCCTAGCGACTCTGGACGTAGCGATCAGACTTATCATAGTTCAAAGCCTGCCAGACAAATAGTTCTTGAGAACCCATCTTGATAAAACCATCACAGAAAAGGGCTGGTGGAGTGCCTCAAGGTATAGGCCTTGAGTTCAAGCCTGAAAAAAAAAAAAATTATCAACAGTGAACTACATCTGAAATCTAAAAAAAAATTGGTTTTTATAAAAAAATTAAAAATTGTTTAGATATCTATGTTTATCATATATTGTGTATCATATATCCATTGCATACATTGTATTCTGTGGAATATGTGTATTTCTTAATTGAAATGGCACTATGATTTTATATAAAGGCAAAATATCCAGATAGATAAAGTCCATTAAAATTTCAAAAATATTTTAAAAACTTCAGTTCTTTAATACAAAATCTTTTTTGGATCAAGACAGTATAATAATACTATGAAAATATATATATTCAGTAAATTCTCAGAATCTATTTTGCACTTACTGACATTATGAGCCCTTGATGAATAATTTGTTTCAAAATAAACCTGAATGTAAACATCAACAGTAGCATTTGGGTTCCATAATGTACTTAAAATTAGTTTTGAAAGTTCCCCCTTCAATTGCTCAGCATAGAATTACAATGCAAGGATTTTGATTCAAGCCAAATTCATACAGGAATCATATATTTAATTATAATAAATACATTTAGAAAGTAAATGAAGTCTACATATGTATAAGTAGCACTTTTTAAATAAGCAGTCATTTTGATTTTTTGGCTAAAAGATTGTAAGCTCCAGGAAAGGAAGAAAGCATGATTTCAGAGTTTTTCTTTTCTAAATTCACTTAAACATTAAAATGCTCATGTTCTGTAACACTTATTTTCATTATTGTTTTGTCTTTAAAATCTTGTATTTGCTTCCCATGTACTATACGCCGTCTCTCTTTTTTCATCTGTGGACTGAGGATACAGGTGGGTAAGAATGGTGTTCATGTTCATGTGAGCTGTGGATAATGAAGAAAGACATTTTCATTTGTTTTATTTTTTAACCTCAACTTTGTTTCATTCTATGAAGCAGAATGTCATTTCACTGTGTCACTTTAAATTCACAGTAACATTATGAAGCTTTATAAGTCTCTCCAAGGCACAACATATTGGTAAGAACAAACACAAAATAAAACTACTCTTTCTTTACCTTCACATCATATTCCCCTTAACAAAGAATACAAAACTGAAATCTGTGGTATGTTGTTTAGCAATGTAGCAATAGAAAGACTAACAAAGCCAGAGGAAATTTCTTAAATGTCCAATCTCAAGAAGAGGTCTAAATTTATGATGAGAAAATAAGATATTTTAAATTTTAAAAAAGTGTTCTTAATGAAAAGATAAATGAAATATATTTTAGTCAATAATTATTTGCCATTGGATAAATGAAAATAAAAGGAATATTTATTCAATATAGCTACAAATATAAGGTTCCATGAGTCAAAATCTTCCAAGGATTGAAAATACAAATATATTTACAGAAATACTTTTGTTTTCATTTTATTGGTTTACCAATTTGAGTAATTAAAATGATAGAGTAAATATTTAAGTTAATCAAAAGGAGAAATTAATATCATATATACTTCCTCAAACAGTTCTGTACCATTTCAATAAAAATGTCTGTTAGAATCTAACAAATAATGATACATTTGTTTGAAATGAAGAATAGCAAAGTTATTAGTTATTATGAAATATGTTAAACAGTCAAAACTTTAAAAATCTTGACATTTTGATGTTAACTGTCACATTATGTCATTTCAAATCAACATAAATTAAATCTAAAACAACATGATCTTAAACATAAATAAAATCAATTACTCTTCATACGAATCTTTCCATAAACAGGCTAAGGTCTTAACTTACTCTTTTGGGCATTTTATTCTATATGTAACCATTATTTAGTAA